CTTTCAGAATTTAAGTAAGCAAAGAATAAATGTTGTTGCAGCTACTTCAAACAAAAAGTACCCATTATGACTTAATGGCACCAAAGCATAAACACTAAAGATAAACATTTACATTCCAAACAATGACCCTAGTAGAATACTACTGTATTATGTCACTTTCCAAAATAGAGCATGGCTTATACAAGGTGGAGAAAAAACACCAAGCCCGCAAAGACCAAAACAGCAACTAATTCTGCCCCTGTGCTGCATACATGCACAGGAGGCAGCATGCCTCTGGCACCGTTTCCTCAAGAGAAATGGAGGTATGCAATACCTTCCAGCTCTCTACGCCATACCATATAAAGTCATAGGACAAAACACTCAGAAGCTCAGGCAGTAGGAACAGATCCAGAAGGCACTGTGCATGTACTTTTCTGAAAAGCAGAGGTCAAGTTTGTTTAAAAGAAAGAAGTATTAATTTAGGTGGCTTTGGTAACACAAGCAATACATAGACTGCCTTCTATACCTTCACTGGTATACACAACCATTTTTCATGGGACTGAGCTGCAGCATCCTGGAAGTCAAAAAGGGATCTAAAAGTATCTACTGGAATTTCTCCAAGCGACTAGTTACTTCACCAGACAGCATTTTTAAGAGGAGGCTATCCCAACAGTAGAAATTAAGAACAGAAGCACAGATGAGTTGTTGAAAATACATGGACTACATCTGCCTGTATAGCCTTTTCTATCTGCTATACAAGAAAACGGAATTGAGATTCACCTACACAAGAAGAAAGGCCTCAACTCAAAGGTGTTGGGACTGAACCTGTTCAACATGCTTGTCAGCATCATGGACAGTAGGACTGAGTGCACCCTCAGCAAGTTTGCCAATAACACCAAGCTGTGTGGTGCAGTTGATATACTGGAAGGAAGGGATGCCATCCAGAGGGACCTGGACACGCTTGAGAGGTGGGCCGATGCCAACCTCATGAACTTCAACAATGTGAAGTGCAAGGTCCTTTCCAACCCAAACCATTTTGTGATTCTAAAACCAAGTCAGACTTGCGTTTTTTTAAGGCAAATGCAGAATTTGATCAGCATTATCACTTAGCTAATCAACCACTTACAAGTGATTCCATACTAAATCACTAAGCTGAGCAAAGCATGCTAAGCTGATAGTTGTATGCAATATCAACCTTCTAAAAAACCTCCACCGATTTAAAACAGATTTTCATCTCAGCTTCAACAAAGCATCTTCAAGCTTCCACCAAAACTGCACACTCCTACTTTCATAGTCTGTCATACTGAAAAGCTAAAACTGTCCAAGTAACATGTTTTTGTGTGTTTACTACACAGGGTAGCCTCATAGCACATGTTACAGTCTTCCTTACTAGTCATGCAGCAAACTCAATTTTCCCCTTGGAAAAAAAACCCGATTTTTTTTTTCCTAAAATATGACGAATAATTAAAAAGACAGCCCTGCCTGCTCTAATAACTTATTTAGAGTTCTAGCTTCCACCAGATTTTCATTAGAATGTACAGACAATATGCATTTTTAATATATTAAACATTTTTTAGTAACTATTATCTCACATTTGTTTAAGTATTACATTCAAGTATCCTACAGTCAAAGAAATACACTTCTGAATACAGGAATCCTGCTATTACTGCATTTTAGTTAGCGCTATTTTGAGTATGACTTGCTGTTAATGATTATCAAGTATTTCAAGTTCGCAAGCTAATAGTACTGCCTTCTTTAGAGTCTTTCAGTTACAATTCAGTTGTGCAGTTTTTCCACACTTAAAAAATTGGACAAATTCAGAGGTACTCAAAGGATGCATCATAGTATGAAGTTTAACAGCTAAACTACAAGTCTCTTATGATATTTGCAACCGCTCAAACATCCTGTGCTCCCTGCCACTTATTCACAGGTCAGGCAGAAGTATCTGTGAACTATACCAGAACCTGATCTGACTGAAGCACATGTACAAGGACAATATGGCACAGTCAATTTTCCTGAGCTGCTGGTCAAAAAATCAGTTCTGAGAGCTTTTACACTGAATAATCTATTTTGGATAAGAGTTCTGGCAAAAGCAAAGCAGCTCCAAACATGAAAACCTTCTCATGAGTTCTTCCTTGCCATCAAAGTGAAGATCTTACAGCTGAAGCAGAAGGCTGTGCCTTGGCACACTGCTTTTGCCACTCCCTCCTTTCGCCCAGTTCAGCTATCCTCCTTTCAATGGTGTCTTCCTAAATAGCTATTCTGGTGGCTTACTGTATATGAGAGAAGCGCAAATAAAGCAGAATATTTTATTAACAGGAAAAGCAAAGGATGAGGGCAGCTAGCAAACAAAATAGACGTGAAGACTAATGCTGTGCAGCCTATTACCTCCCAGGGCAGAGATCCTATGTATTTTCAACTCCCAGCTGGGGTCCTCTGCCTAGCAGGGACAGATGGGACAAAAGGAGAGTAAAGGAAATCAAGGGGCACTGGCAGCAGTGAGGGCAAGAAAATTCACTATAAATGATGAGGGAAATGGTGGTGTAGCACAGGCCTACTTTTAACTCTCTGCATTTGCAGCTATTTTTGCAGAATTATAAATTGATTCAAATAGCTTAAAATAGGCAGTTAAAAAAAGATGCAATAAAATGTCACAAAAATCAAGGTTTGCAAATTCAACTTGCAAGAGCTAGGGTCACGTGCAAATTAAAAGCTGAGAAGCAAAGAACACTGGTATTGTACAGACAAATGAAAACCCAACAGGTAACAGCCAAAGCTGATTCAATTTGTTTTGTTCATCCACTGTAATTATAACAAAATGCTTAGATCTACAAAGTCAAAAAGATGGAAAATGTCATCGTAGAACTAGGAAAGCAATTTGTTATGGATTGTTACAGTTACAACAGCGCACGGTTATGAAGTAATGTATAGGTTACAAAAAGAAATAAGTAAAACCCACCTCGTGGAATTCTTCCTGTTCCCTGGCAAGTTGGGCAGGTAACACTGTCTCTTCCTGTAAATTCCACATAGGGAAACTGCGACACATCTCCGCATCTGCTGTCTTCGTTGTGCGATTCTGAGTGAACTAACCCATTCCTCATATTATCAGAAACTGTGGTTCCACTGTAGCTATCTTCCTTGCATGTGTGCATAGGCAGGTGAGAAAGTGATTTTCCCATGTCTAAAATAAAAGTCAGAAGAAAGTTTTCAGGAAGAACAAACTTGGCTTGCACTTATGCCTCTGCATCAGGTAACTGTTAGTCTACATGCATTACTCTGACAAGACCCCTGTTGCCCTCTGTTCAGATTCCTTAAGACCTGCAAAGCACTAAGGCCCTGTCAAGGTGGACTCAACCCCAAGCTGCAAGAACCTGAACTAACTGGGAGCTTTGTTCAGATACTCCAATATGCACAGGTTGAATGGGGGTCAACAAGAGGCTTTTAAGTTAGAACAGTACAATGGCTGGCAAAGGTTGCAATGGTCTAGTGGTGCTTTTCAAAGGATTGTTATTGCACAGACTTTCACAATACTCATCAATCTTTGTTTAAAAAAAAATTTCAAGACAGGGCTCTAGAACGCAAGTTGGCAATTTTCTGTTGATTCTACACACACTGCAGACCCAATTCAAATGAGCTTTCAGGCTGCACTTGTCTTGATAGCACAGGATCAGCTATTAGTTTCCAAGGTAGAAATACAGATCTTCAGGTGTTTGAACTGATGACTCCCTTTAACCCAGAAGACGTCTGATTCACAGGAAAGTCAAGGGAAAAATGTGAATTACTTTAATATAGCTGCTGGTGATGTGCTGCAGTTCTAAAGACTTGTTAAGAAAAAAAAAAAAGTATTAATCACAAAAGCACTTTTGCTACCTATGCAAAATTTCAAGTTTTCTCCTTACTGTGGTTTTATAGCCACGACACTGAAGCTACCTTAAGACACAGAACACTTGAAACTAAAGGCTGTAATCAAGTAATTCAAGTAGAAACCTTTCTAAGTTTTTCTAAATTGCAACAGGTGGAAAACAAATTCAAAGTTGAAAAAATAAATCTGTAGAGCAGTGGCAATCAGTTCTCCTGTTTATCCCCAGAACCTATTTTAACTTAAACCCAGACACCAGACACTCAATTCACCCAATTCCCTAGTGTCCTGGGGAACAGGATGATTTAAAAAGAGTACGCAAAACTTCATTATTCTTTTTTCCATTGTAACTGGCACTTTTAAAGCAGCTGCTAGTAACTGTCATGCTGGTTCACTGAGAAAGGAAGCCCTAAGAGGAAGATCAAGAGAGCAAAACCAGTCAGAAGATTTTAAACCAACCACTCAAGACAGAAAAGAAAGATCTCAAGTACAGTGATGGTAACACAAGCACAACATTAATTCATTATATTGCCACAAAGGTTAAGTGAGTCTAAGACAGCAAAAGTAAGTAAAAAAAGGTTAAGTGAGTCTAAGACAGCAAAAGTAAGTAAAAAAATGCTAGCAAGTCCCAGTTACTGCTCCAGCAAACATGCAGCATTATTTTCTTAACATAAGTTATTAAACCCTTACAAGAAAAAAAAACAAACAACTATTTGTCCTTATGCCTCTATAGCACTTTTTAAACATTTTAAGTTCAAGAGCCACTCAATAATGGAAATGGTTGAACTGAAAACTAAAGTTAGAGTTATTGAAAAATGTTTTCTGAAAAAGCTGTTGATAATTATTCCAAATGGGGTTTTGCTTACTGTTCTCCTTGTAGGTGACCTACAGCCTTTAAGCTACAAAACTTGAGTCTTGCAGCTTAGACAAAAGCTGTCACTGTTATATCTCTGAAAGGGATCAATCCCCAGTCCCATTGAGCTGCAACTGTATTCACCTCACCTGCTCTAGTGATATATAGTTCAGGCTATGTCTACGTTAACAACTAAATACAGAACAAGGAGCCACTCCATAGAAATAAGAAGTTCTTTACTGTGAGGGTGGTGAGGCACTGGAACAAGCTGCCCAAAGTAGCAGTAAATTCTCCATCCTCAGCAGTGTTCAAGGCCAGGCTGGACATAGCCTTGCCAGTGTGGTCTAGTGGGAGATGTCCCTGCCCATGGCAGGGGTGGTGGAACTAGATGATCTTAAAAGTCCTTTCCAACCCTAACTATTTTATGATTCTATGAATACTGAGGCTCCAACATCCACACTATACATATAGATTTGATACTAGCTCTTGTCTATACTGACAACACCCACTTACAAGTGAAGTGCACCTTATAGTTTTAGCTTCTTCCAAAAGGATGAGTTCACGCTCTCACAGATCACACCAGAATGTGAACCAAAGTGCAGTAAGCAAGGATGGCTAGGAACTCAATTCAAGAGTACAGCCTTTATTTGAATTAAAATACTAATGCAGATACAGCCTCCAGTGCCAACTGTACCTGAGCTTCAATAATTAGAATAGTGTTGCTCTACTGCCAGAAACTTAAGTGAAACGCCTCAATTCACAAATAGAACAGTTAGCCACCTTCAAGTGAAATGTGTTCCTCCAACATGCTTCCCCTCCCAGTCAAGCACTAAACCTTATTACAGTTCACCAAATCTAACGAACACTTTGTTCTTTTATCCAGCACTTATTTACTGAACAGTAGTAGCTCTAATATACCTGCTTTGGTTGTGACAGCCTCTATACTGACACCAGAGCCACAATTACAACCATCTTCTCTCCTACCAGCTGTGTCTTAATCACGAACCTCACAAGCTCCTCCACTACAGAGGACGCAGCAGGGTAAGGCAATGACTTAGCAGTCACAAACTTGCTCGGTGCGGGTAGGCACGTCCAGCGCTGCCGTTTACGACCCGTTTAGAGACCGGCCCCCGGGCACGGCCTGCTCGGTAAGGTGGCGCTGCCAATACAGGAGTCAGCAGCCCGCGGGGGATGTACGGGTTCTCCCCCGCCCAGCCAGAGCGGCGGCC